TGGTTAATTTCGAGTTTAAGTTGGTATTTGCAAGACTATTGAGTTTATATTTATGAAATGAGTATTGGGTTTGAGTTAAAGTTGTTGTAACTTGGTTGAAAAGTTAAGTGGGTGTCATGTTATCTCTAAATGATGAGAGGAGGGTGTTACAAGTTTGGTATCAGAGCCACGGTTACCAGTCAAACCGGTTCCGACCCGTGAGATATGTTTTCAAAGCAAAATCTTTTTCAAATGTTTTAAATGGGGGTTAGGGGTTTTTAAAACGAAACAGAACAAACCATGCCAAATCACTCTGCTCTCCAGGCTCAGTTAGTTAGTAAGATTACTTCATTATCTTCAGTTCGTCTTCATCTACTGTCTACATCTACCTTGTGTCTGTCTTCATATGTGTCTACATCGTCGTTGTGTCTGCTGTATCTGCATCTGTTGTGGTTAATCGAATCGTAAAACCCGATTCTGATTACTTATTCTTGTGAATAATTGCCACTAAGGGTTCAACGTTATACCAGGGCTGTTGCACGCCGTGAGAGTGAGGAAGAAACCGAGTCCACTTTAGCAGAAAGTGTGAATGGACGCAATACCAAGCTGAATCGCGCCAGGGAGCAGGCGGAGGCAGCTCATGCTCAAGCCTTAGCCGTGCAACAGGCTTTGGCTGCGGAACAGGACCATGCCGCCGCCCAGGGTTGGGAAGAGCAGGCGCGTGTGGGTGAGCAAGCGCGGGTTGCGGAACAAGCGTGTATTAAGAGAAAGCCCGTGTGGTTGAGCAGGCTCGCATTGCTGAGCAGGCTCGAGTTGCAGAGATAGCTGCTGAAAGAGAAGAGCTATTGAATTACCACGAGAGGTATGGAAATCCTCTTTGTGGAGACTCCAACGAGGGAGGAGTACACGGAGATGCCAATCCGCGCCGTGAGAGCCGGTTGTGGCGGTTTGACCACCCCTTACCACCACTAAGGGTGGGCAAAATATCCGTTATATCCGCTTCGAACCGGTATTTGCTTCGATCCGATTCGAAAAATCCGGATATCCGTAAAGCTTCGGAGCAAAGCAAATAGCAAAATATAGTATCCGTACAAAACAGAGCAAATCACAAATATGTTTTTAGACAACGTCGGATATCCGATCCGATCCGTATCTTTATAAATTTATTATATATTAGTATATATTATCATGTATATATCAATTATATTATAATTTTTTATTAATATACTCTCGATTTTCTTCCTAAATTTTCAACTTTTTCTAAATTCTTTTTGATTATATAAAATAAATGACTAAATAACCAATTATAAAAATAAATAATATGTTTAAATTTAAAATATGTTAATAAATAATATTTTATTCGATATTAGTTAATAAATATCAACAAAAGTTTTTTTAGTAAAGTTTAATATTAAAATTTTAAATACTTAATATTATTTTTAAATATAAAATATTATTTTTTCCTCATCTTAATTTTGTAGGTTTATTTTTTATAGATTTTTTATAAGATAAAATGTTTTCTTTTAGTTATTTTCACTTAAAAGTTTAGATAAAAAAATATTTTTTTTATAACAAAAATTGATGTACTTTCAGTTTTGCGTATATTAAACGGATCAAACTAAATATTCATAAATATCCGTAAATATCCGCAAATATCCGCAAATACTTGTAAATTTTCCAGATATCCGAAAATCCGGATATCCGTATATTTACGGAGCAAATCAAATCATAAAATTAAATATCCGTTAAAAACGGAGCAAACCACAAATACTTAAAAATTTCTGGATAACCGATCCGCGCCCACCCTAACCACCACCTTTGGGCTGCAGACATGACACGGATCCCAAGGAAAAGAATAGAGCGGCATATTTCACTGTTAGGGTATGAACTAAGAGCCCTAGTTCGGGTGGTATAAGGGACTGCAGAGTGTTATCTGCCATGAGCACACGCGGACCTGGGGCGTGCCTCTTTGGCGCCAGAGGTAACTGTTCCTGGTTGCCTCCTTCTTGGGGTACTAACACTCTGCAGTCCCTTGACAGATGACCAAAGAAATGAAACCAGTTACGAGAAATGAAGAGAAACAGAGAACCCTAGAACTCTCCTTTCTCTCTCACTTTTTGCGGCCGCCGAGTCTCTCTCTCGCCGCTGTCACTTTCTCTCTCTTCCTCTTCAGCACCGTCTCTCTCCTTAGCCACCACGATGTCTCGCTGCTCGCCGCCTTCTCCTTCCCCGCCCTCCGATGCTCGCAGTGGCCGGCCAAGAAGGCACAGCCCCTTCCTGCACTGGACGCCTTCGCCAGCAGCACCCGGCGAGAGCCACCATGTCAACCAACTTCGCGATGGACCTATAGCAACTCCAGCGAGCCGATCCGTCCCAGTGTTCTATGTCAACGAGCCATACTTCCCGCACAGCTACCCCTCGTCCCTGCCGCTCAACAAGCATGGATGGAGGATCAACCCGGCGTGGCTCGCCGCCGTGGAGTCCCTAGCTTCGTTTACTTCTCCTTACCTCCCCTCGTCAGCTTCTTGGCCTCCTAGGCCAAGGTGAGGATAAATTTGTGCTAGACTGTTGTGTTCTTCGCTTTTTGTAATGTCTAGTTTGGGGTTAAACCAAACATACTACTTTTTGCTTTAGAACTGAGTCTCAGTAAGGTCTTGTTAGGATGTTTTTTGATTATGTGGATCGCTTAGATGTGTTAGGAATTTGAATATGAAGTTGCGGGAGATTAAAATGAACGTTACTTGTATTTGAAACGCCTTGATTGTTGGATTGCTGCTTGGTACTCTGGTGTGATGATTGTGTGATCGCCTAATACTTGTAAAGGGGATAAGTTCCTGAGTCTCATATTAAGTTCATATCCTCTTTACAAGTATTAGACGATTACACAATCATCACACAAGAGAATTAAGCAGCAATCATACAATTAAGGCGTTTCAAACACAAGTAATATTCGTTTTAATCTCCCACAACTTCAGTTTCCAATCCCTGACACATTTAAGCGATCCATATAGTCAAACAGCATCCTAACAAGGTCTTACTGGGATTCAGTTCTAAAACAGAAAGTTGTAGTATGCTTGGTTTAATCACAACAGTCTAGCATAGGTTCATCCTCACCTTGGCCTAAGAGGGGAAGGAGGTGGCAAGGAGAGGTAAGGAGAAATAAACGAAGCTAGACACTCCACGGTGGCGAGCCACGTCGGGTTGATCCTCCTTTCGGGCTGGTCGAGCGATGGCAGGGGCGAGGGTAGCTGCGCGGGAAGTCCGGCTTGTTTTTGACATAGAACACGGGGACGGATCGGCTCGCCGGAGCTGCTACGGGTCCATCACAAAGGTGGTTGACGTAGGAGAGTTTTAAGGTTCTCCGTTTCTCTGTAAATTAGGATGAAGAAAATAATAGGAATAGATCATTTCCAGAGGTAGCTTGTACAGGAAGTAGAGGTAATAATAAAAATATAAAAAATAATTATGAATTACTATTCCTTTTCCAAAGATAAATATTTATTAATCACATTAAAAATATAATATTATCTTTATCAAGAAAAAAGAAAGTTTATTTTCAAAAGAAAAATAAAATATGAAGAAAAAAAAGAAATTAGACTTTAAATTATTTTAGTTCGGGTTTGAATTTTTAAACAGGCCTAGTTTGAACTTAACCATTTCTGATTACGCCTATTTCACCCTACCCGTTTCATGAACACTTAAGCCCAAGCGTTAAAGGAATAGACGGTCTAGCCTACTTCAGAGCACTTAGACTCAAGCGTTAAAGAAAACTGTTGACAAATTGCAAAAATTAATTGTCGTTCTTTGTTTTTTTTCGAATTTCTGTGTGATAAACTTGTTCAACCTCTACAGAAATTTTATTTTTCTTCTTAATTCTCATAAAGTGAGATTGAATTTCTTTATTTCATAAATATTGGAATTCAGTGAATATCAATTGGTTTGGATTTGCAATTTGGAGTTATCGTTTATTTGTATCAATTTTTATCGGAATCCAGTGAGGATCAAAGATTGTTCATTCTTATTTAGAAGAACTAAACAAACCGTATGTCTTATGAGTCTTAGTCTGAGATTGCCATTGATCAGTTCTAGTCACGATATATATAGGTCTTAAAGCTGACCGAGCAAGTTCAATGTATAATCAGACTGGGGAATTAGAGGGAAATTGATCTCTAGTTAAGGAACTAGTTCTGCTTACTCCTACGTGCGAAGCCACAATTGATTCTCAACTTAAAACAGTTCGATGCCACTCTCAACTTAAAAAATCTGAGACTCATTTTGCGTCTTCGTGACGAAAAACAAAAGCGACGTGGTTTCCAAGCCAAAAAAAAAAACAAGCTTCCGAATCAGCTCTAAACCAGACGGTCAATTTTTTCATTTAAATTTCATTTTTCTTTTTTGTAAGTTGGGTTGCATCGAAATTTCGTCCAAAAGTCCCTTTCAATAACGGAAACAAGTTATAATTCTCAAATAAAAAAAGGAAGCTCCATTCCCTTACTCTGCTCGTTTTACACAAACCTAGCTTCTCCTATATAGCGAGTCATGAATGATAATTGATATCTTGACAGAAACAGAAGAAGACTAGGTAACTGATCATGTCATAAATACAATACCTTGCCTCCGCAACTCCTGACACAGTTCTGTAGATACAGTAACAGAGTTGCATAGATTAAATCTAAAAATTGTTCTGTAAGTTAGGTTTCTCTATTCTCTTCTGTTTAGGAAGTGAGAGCCATAAGCTTCCACAGTTGGCTACGCGAACTGAATGTAGCATACCCTCACATACCGAAACTAACCCGCAAAGACCAAAACCGAAAGAAGCCAGTTTCCGGACTAAACGCAAAGATTAGAAACGATAAGTGTTTCATACAGCCACATGAATTGAATGTAGCATATATTATTCTCATCCCGCAAAGACCGAAAACGAAAGAAGCCATTTTCTCTCTATATCTAAGCTCCTTTTCTAATGTCACAATAGGAAAACACAAGTGTTTCAACCTCGGTACTCTTGATACCAATCAATCTCCAGCAAACAATAGAAAATCTTTATTCTCCCAACAAACTAAACACGCATCCAAATAATTCGAAATCTGGAGTTAATCCATTATTCAATCAAGTTGCTAGAGTATGCAACATTACACTGAGCAAGAAACATGCGGAATCATAAAAATGGAAGACACGAACTTCTACGTCGCATTCTCCTTCACATTGTAAAAGGATTTATTGGTAAAACAACAGAAGATTATAGATTCATATATCGAAGAAACCTGATCGTCGAATCCTGCAACAGTCCCTGAAAGATTCATAAATGTCAATGAGACTATGAACATTGGGGGTTGGGAATTCATTAAACCGGAAAGAACCGATTCGTACCGGGAATTTCACCGCATTCAAGTGGTTGGCACACCAGAAACTGAAAATACAAGAAGAGGGACAATCAAATGAGCAACATGAGCTTGATGATCCTCAAGACGACCCTTCACACAATCTCCATCCCAGCGAACAAGTGTTGGTACTCCGGTTAGCTTAAACCGAGGATCAACTCTCCACAGATGAACCGGATTCCTCCAGGTCGGCCTATCTCCAGCGTAAGCCCTAATAAGATTCACTTCCTCCGCCGATTCCTCTAGAGTCTTGTATATCACAGGTTCAGCTCTAACACAATCTGAATATCAATTACCAAAACCCATATATCAAAAGGATGAAAATTGGAGGAAATTGAGGAAAAATAAAAACCCTAGCGGACCTGGGCACCAGCTTCGATTGGTGGTAGGATCATCGTTTGCGAGGAAGAGAATGAAATTGATCTTGTTACGGTTTGATTCGTCTGATTCAGTTCTTCTAACACAGATTCTAAGGTTGAAGGATTTGCGTCCCATTTCTTCAGCGTCATCTTAGTTTTTTGTTCCTTCGTTGAAACTGATGATTTTCGATTTCTTTAGCAATTTAAAAGTTATTCGAATTCGTCTTTATTGGACCGCTTTACTCGAAATTAAGGCCCATCTTTGTAGAATTTTCAAAAGCATTTGGCATTTTTCAACTTTGTTTTATTCGTCCGAATAATTCAATAGTAAAAAAGCCACATTTGCTCGAACTGTTGTAAACTAATGTTTTATATAAAGCAAAAAAAAATTAAAATCTTTTAAATTTTTAAATTTCAAAAAAAAAAATAAACATAAATTTTTTTTTTTTAATTTATGATTTTATAAAAAATAAAGTTAATTATTTATATAAAAAATTTTATTTCATAATATAGTAAATTAATATATAAAGATAAAACATATAGATAAGCATTATCCAAAACATATGAATAAACATTATCTAAAACTTATGGATAAACATTATAGGATAAAAATCATTTCTATGGAAAAACCCTATAGGATAAAAATCATAATAAAGGGAAAAAAAGTACAGCAAAAGCAAACTCTCCCCGGAAAAGATGGATCTCATCTTCTCTTCACAAATCTCGTAGATGCTGCATTCTAATACTATGAACATGTTTCTTGAATGTTGTAGTAGGAAGCGCTTTTGTGAAGAGATCAGCTGCGTTGTCACTTGAACGAACATACTAAATATCCACTTCCTTTTTCTTCTCTAGCTCTTGAGTATGTGAGAAAAAATTTGGAGGGATATGCTTTGTTCTATCGCTCTTGATATAACCTTCCTTAATTTGAGCGACACAAACAGCATTGTCTTCAAACACTTTTGTTGGTTCTTTGTCTGTGATTATTCCACTTGCTTCTTGTATGTGATGAGCTATCGACCGAAGCCATACATATTCTATGCATGCTTCATGAAGTGCAATAATCTCCGCATAGTTTGAAGAAGTCGCGACCAAAGTTTGCTTTTGTGATCGCCAGGAGATCGCAGTTCCACCAAATGTGAAAACATATCCAGTTTGCGATCTAGCTTTATGCGGATCAGATAGATATCCTGCATCTGCAAAACCAACTAAACCAACCTCGGGGTTTCTAGAATAATATAATCCAAATTTAATCGAACCTTGAAGATAACAGAATATATACTTTATTCCATTCCAATGCCGGCGCGTTGGTGATGAACTATACCTTGCAAGTAAGTTAGTAGCAAAAGCTGTATCTGGTCTAGTACAATTTACAAGATACATAAGGGCACCGATAGCGCTCATATAAGGCACTTCACGACCTAATATTTCTTTGTTACCTTCACATGGTCGAAATGGATCCTTGTCAACGTCAAGTGGTCTATTGACCATTGGAGTACTCAAAGGAGTCGCTTTATCCATACTAAAGAGTTTCAACACCCTTCTGGTGTAATTTGATTGATGCACAAATAATCCATCTCAGAAATGCTCTATCTGGAGCCCTAGACAAAATTTTGTCTTTCCAAGATCTTTCATTTCGAACTCATCTTTCATATGAGCTCTAGCATCATCAATCTCCTTTTGAGTTCCAATCATGTTCAAGCCATCAATATATACAGCAATGATCGCAAATCCTGATGCGGATTTCTTAATAAATACACAAGGGCATATCGCATTGTTCACGTAACCTTTACTCAACAAATACTCACTTAAGCGATTATACCACATGCGTCCGGATTTGCTTTAATCCGTAAAATGATCGCTGTAGTTTGACCGAACATAGCTCTTTAGATGCTTTAGGCATCTTTGATCCTTGAGGAATCTTAAATCCTTCAGGGATTTTCATGTATATGTCACTATCAAGTGAACCATATAGGTATGCAGTCACAACATCCATCAAGTACATCTCTAAATTATTAGAGGCCGTTAGGCTCATTAAGTACCTGAATGTGATTGCATCCATGACCGGGGAATATGTCTCTTCATAATCTATTCCCGGTCTTTGAGAAAATTCTTGTGCCACAAGGCGAGCTTTATACCTTGTGACCTCATTTTTCTCATTTCTCTTTCTTACAAAGACCCATTTGTATCCGACTGGTATTACATCTTCAGGTGTAATAATTATCGGTCCGAATACGTTCCGTTTATTAAGGGAGAATATCTCATCCTTCATGGCAACTTGCCATTTATCCCAGCCAGGCCTTCTTTGGCACTCTGACACGGAACTTGGATCTTGATCATCATTTTCATGATCGATCTCTTTAGAAACAGAAAAAGAGAACATTCCATCATTATCTTCTACTTCACTTCTAGCCCATAATTTTCCACTTTGGGCGAAGGAGATGGAAATCTCATATTTTTCTGCTTCATATTCGTCTTCAGGACAAACCTCTTTACCTAGTTCTTCAGGAACTGGTTCAGATATGTCTTCCAGACATATACCTTCATTTGGTTCTTCAGAAACCTTTTCACAAATGTCTTCAGGACATTTGGCTTTATTTGGTTCTTCCAGAACCTTTGCGTCCAATTTCTTTCTTTTTCGGGGATTTTTATCTTTTGATCCTACTGGCCTCCCGCGCTTTAGCTGAACCAGTTCATTTGCTCTATTTACATCAATATGTTCTTCAGGAACATTTATCTTTGATGGAGCATTAGCAGCGGGGATATAGGACTTTGTCATCCTTCTTGTATCTGTGAATGCATCAGGTAACTGGTTTGTCAATCTTTGTATATGTATAATTTTCTGAACTTCCACCTCGCGTTGGTTTGTAGGAGGATCAAGATAAGCCAAAGTTTTTGTACACCATGTGATATCATTTGGTGATTCTCTCAATTCTCCCCCTAACGCAGGGAATTCACTATCATCAAAGTGGCAATCGGCAAACCGTGCCGTGAACATATCACCAGTTTACCGGCTCAAGTTACCTAATTATACTTGGTGACGAGTACCCGACATATATTCCCAATCTTCTTTGTGGTCCCATTTTTGTTCTTTGAGGTGGCGCTATAGGGACATAGACTGTACACCCAAACACACGAAGATGGGATACATCTGGCTTCTGGCCAAATGCTAACTGTATGGGGGAATATTTATTATACGCACTTGGTCTTACCTGGACCAATGCCCCATCATGCAATATAGCATGTCCCCATACAGTGATTGGAAGCTTTGTTCTCAAGATTAGCGGTCTTGCAATTAATTGCAACCGCTTAATCAATGACTCAGCCATGCCATTTTGTGTATGAACATACGGAACCGGAAGCTCAACATCGATTCCCAAAGACATACAATAGTCATTAAAGGCCTCTGAAGTGAATTCACCAGCGTTATCAAGCCTGACTTTCTTTATGACATAATCAGGGAAATACGCTCTCAACCTGATTATTTGGGCAATGAATCTTGTGAAAGCCATATCTCTTGTGGTAAAAAAACACACATGTGACCATCTACTAGATGCGTCAATCAACACCATGAAATATCTAAATAGCCCGCACGGTGGGTTAATCGGCCCACATATATCACCATGTATTCTTCCTAAGAATACAGGGGATTCATTCCCAACTTTGGCTAGCGAGGGCCTACATATGAGTTTTATTTGAGAACATGCCTTACATGAAAACTTTCCCGCTTGAAAAATCTTCTGGTTTTTCAATGGGTGGTCACTCGAATTTTGCACAATCCTTCTCATCATGACTGAACCAGGATGGCCTAACCTTTCATGTTATACTCTAAAAATGCTGGACAACATGTGATTCAGCCATGGTTATCTTTGTGTAACATAATCCGGAGGACATCATTGGTAACTCTTCCAACTGATGTTTACTCTCCGTTGTAATGCAAAGATATTCAGAGCCATTCTTATTAATAGTCTCAATATGGTATCCATTTATGTGGATATCTCGAAAACTTAATAAGTTCCGTTGAGACTCGGGGGAGTATAATGCATCTTGCACTACAAACTCTATACCCCTTGGCAATGAAAAACTTGCTCTTCCGGAGCCTAGTATAATCTTTGCAATACCAGTTATAGTACTCACGCTTCCGGCGGAGACTTTCATTTTGAGACAGGAAAAATACTTTTTATCTTTAAGTATTGTATGTGTCGTAGCACTGTCTGCTAGACAAGTATCTCCATCCCGAATCTCAAAGTGTGACATCTTCTGGATCACAATACTTATAAGTGATGCAATAATTAAAAGAACATCAACTTAAAAAACAACAGGTTAATATATTACATCAAAAACCTGTAGCATAAACATAGTATATTATACATACTAAAAACAAGATTAAGAGTTCGTTATTCTTGTCTCTATCAAGGAGACACTATTATCGATTTGAGTTTCTTTGACTTTGTTGATTCTTCAAGATCAACAAGAAAGTTAGCAACATCAAGATGAATGTCATCACTCAAGCCATCAAAGGAAGTTCCAGATTCATCTAAGATAAAGTTGGTCTCTGCATCCTTTTCTTTGGCCTTCTGTGATTTTGCATACAGATCGGCGAAATGTTTTGGCGTACGACACATCCGTACCCAATGCCCTTTCAAGCCGCATCTGAAGCAAGGGGCGTCACCTTGTCTTTTAACGTCCTGGCCATCATCACTTTCCCTTCCTCGTCCACGCCCTCGACCGCGACCGCGACCGCATCTGCGATCACGTCGTGGCTTCTTATCACTTTGACTGGATGACGCAACATTTGCTTCAGGGAATGATATAGATCCAGTTGGACGAGTCTGATGGTTCAACATCACGAGTTGATTATTTTGTTCAACTACAAGGAGGATTTGCATCAACTCCGAGTATTGGGTGAATTCTCTTGCCCGGTATTGCTGTTGCAGGATTACATTTTCAGGATGAAAAATGGAGATAACATATCATATTCACTGATATATTCTCCACACAACATCATCCTGGAGGTGATCCTGAACAGCACGGAATTATATTCACTTACACTTTTGTAATCCTAGAACCGGAGATTCAACCACTCATGTCTCACTTTCGGTAAGATCACATACCTATGGTGATCGAACCGACTCTTAAGCGATAGCCAAAGATCTGCCAGATCTTCTTTCCTGATGTATTCATCTTTTAAACCATCATGGATATGGTGGCGTAAAAAGATCATGGCTTTTGCCTTAGCCTCATCCGACGTCGTTTTCGACTTATCGATAGTGCTC